TAAAAAAAAAAAAAAAAAAAAAAAAAAAAAAAAAAAAATACTCTTTGCTGTATTTGCGCATGCAACAGGAGAGAATTTGTGGTGTATGCATGTAAACCTCTCTTACATCATTAGGCGCAGCAAGGTAGTTGTTTATTGAGGGTCTTAATTATAATAAGAAGGGGAGGGAGCATGGCGAGCTGCAAAGGAACCGTAATAATCATCAGATGTATTTATTCTTAATATTTAATTAAATTTATTTAAATATAAAATAGCTAGCAAGAACAAGATAAAATCTCAGCAAAAAAGGCACATAATCTACTCACCAACCTCTAGCCGTCCTCCATGCAGCGGCTCACTTGCTTGCAGCTGCAGGGAGATGGTACAATAGGTGGCAATATGCTATGGGGTGCAAAACACTTGCATGCAACAAAAGGTGGGAAAAAGCCCCAAACGCAAGCACGAACAAGCGTTCTTACCGGTCTGTGCCAATACAGTCCTTCTTACTTGCCGGGTATATATCCAGGCCGAGGAAGAGCTCGTAAGGTCTCCTCTACACAAGACGGGCTTGTCAGCATCAGGTAGACTATGCTACAGCTAATACAACTTATATACGTTCTTAGATAAGACAGAGAAATATCTATATATAGACAGATAGGAACCCTACTAACTTAAGCTCTGTCTGTAATTGTCTTCATTAGATGCTGGTGACCCAGCCAGGCAGACCCTTTGGGGACACCGTAACAGTATTCTTGCTGATAGTGTCTTCTCCTGTCTCCTCTTGCCGGGGATATTTGTTGTCCTTATTTTGGGGCTTTGTTGTTTCCTTTGTAGACCAAGAAAACATTGAAATACCACCAACACTTTTTCCCAGGAGGTACGTTGGCTTGTCCCCCTACTGCAACGAGAGGCCGCCACGGCGGCACAGTAAGTATGCATGCAAATAGTACATATATTTCTACGTATATGCAGGCTATATGTTTTATTTGCCAAGCCTGTGCCTAATAAATATATACAGCATTAATCCATTCGTCAATGGCTTCCCTGATTTGCTGATCATGATGAGGGTAGCCAAGCTGAGCATGCACTAAGGTACACAACAGCAAAAAGCTTATGACAAATAATCTGCTAAGGGCAACTAGTAACTTCCCCTGGGGGAAAAAGGAATAAAGATCCGTACCTGCAATTCCTCTTTGAGTCAACTATGTACCCACATGGTCAACAGTAGTTAGTGCTCCCTGATGCAGGTTAGTAGTGCCTCTACCTCCGGGGAGGAGGCACAGCTTACTAATCTGTACATTGGCACTTTTATTGCAACATCCCTTCATAGAGGGTAGACAAAATACAATAACCAGTAAACAAATACGGATAAAACTTCTACATAATTCAGAGTTGGGCCTTATTAACTTCCTCTTAAGACTTTTACCATGAATCAATACACCAGCAAATACACCTATGCATGCCGTAGGTGACTCAGTAGGGGGCTGCGCTTATGGACTTTAGCCAGGATTGCCAGACACAGGAAGGCAAGAAGTTCTTATAGGCAAGAAGTGCTAAGAAACTCCTAATAGGAGGGATAACCTCTGGTGGTCCAATTTAATCCATAAAGGTCCCTTAATGGTGGTCATATTTAACCATGGATTATTATTAGGAACAATTTACTATATTATATATGAGTATACAGGACTTGTATGCTAGGCCTCTGCTGTCAATTAACAGGGGATATATGGTTGTGTACAAGGGAGCCATTCCTGCACTCAGCAGAATATATTATTGAATATGTACCCTGTAAGAGACTACGGTGTGCACTGCTACTACTATAGGAGAGGTAGGGAGTAATAAAAGGAGACAAATTATATATTTTATCAATTAATTAGCTTATAGGTGTTGTATGGCTAACAAAATAGGGAATATATATATATATATATATATATATAT